AGGAATTGGCATCCTGACGTGACTGAAATATCGTGGGCTTATGTTGTACGATGATTAGAACTCCAACCCTACGTAAGTTATCTCTTCAAATGGAAATCACATCTCAGAATTTCGGCTAACGTTTTCCGAGCTATCGTAAATTATACACTCTAACTGCCTATGAATGAGAGGGAGAATTTTCCGCCGTCTATTGGCATTCCTAGCTATTATTTTGCCAAGACGGACTATGCTGACATATAGAACTGTAGGAAATTGGCCGAGATTTGGCTTGTCCTTCGCCACGCCTCCCACAGGAGGCTGAAAGTGAGTCCACAGACTGACTTTCGTAATGGCAGATTACTACTTGGGGAATCCGGCCTATAAAGAGGATTCTCTCCCCAGTTATGCAGGTGCACTATAAACAGACTTTGCATCCACATGTTTATATATTTAAAACTTGAAAATTACAGCCAAACCCCTAATGGCCGATTTTGAACCAGTTATACCTCCCTTGTTAACGGACGGGACGGTCTCGTGATAGGATAGCTCTCGTCCTGAAAGAGTGCCCGCTTATGTTCTTTCCGAGCCACCAGTCCGTCCCATTTTCACTGATTTCAGTACAGCCATATACACCAAACGATACTTCGTTAAATTATTCTTCTCACATCCGAGGCCTAAAGCGCGAATGACCCTTGCAGATAGGCAGATTTTGAATGCTCGCATTTTCGTCCAGATCGTTGACTGGACGTCTCGCTAAGCCTGCCTTTGCCTCGTCCTATGCTGTCAACTATAAACCTCGGAGGCATTTGTTCATCTGAGTAATTTTTCTTTACGACCGCGACCCTGTCCAAATCTAATAATCAAGGAATTTTTGTAAACAATAGACGTTTTGTATGCGCCTCATACGCCATCCAAGTTCATTTGGTGGCGAGATGTTCACCCTGCAGTGAACCTCCACAAAGTCAAATATCCAAAAGCACAATCCGGCGGACTCGATTGTAATCAGGTTCGCTCGGATAGTGACAACAGAAACCCCGAAAACGGCTGCATTTGCCGCGATGTCTGGATAACTTTAATGTTTTACCTAACTCATGAAAAATGTCGAGATTTACAAATAACTGTTACTCACTCGCAAACAGACACCAATGTATGTATCCAATATCCATATTAATAAATGACAATCCTATGGGTATTCGAAACAGAAAAATGTTAAAGAGTATGTTCGAGTATGTTTTTATGTCCCTTCTTCGGGCATAAAAGATAAAGACGACGTGATTCTCCATCAAGCGACTGAAAGAAAGCAGATTTTTGTTCGTGGTTTCTATATAACATATTTGACTTTGCATCCCTATCGAAAATTAGCTAAATTAATAGTCATTTCTTACCGAATACGGATCCAACGGGAGATTGAAAAGCAGTGCATTCAAAAGCTGACGTCCTGCCGAGTCCGAAATATTATAGAATTATGCCGCAAGGGAATCAGGTTTGCGACGGCGCTTAAGCAATCCTTCCTTATCGAAAACGCATTTCAGAATTTCAGCCAACATTTCATGAGATCGGTCACTCACTGTACTCCCTGCTCAAAGTTCTCCCAGCCTACGTTGAACTATCGTCCACCTACAGGCAAGAATGAGATGCTGAGCTAACGGCTGTTACTAATCTGCCGAGCCCTGACCGACTGCATGTCTCAAAATGTTCATATTACTGACTCCATCCGTGGAGGGCAAATATTCAGCCTGTATCATTTATCAGAGTATTGACAGGGCAGTTGATTGGCTAGCGCAAGATCGAGCTATTGCGGAAGGCTCAAAAGGAGTTTCAGCACACGACACGCACTGGTTGCGGCGGCTATCAAAAGACGTCTGAATATTTCAAAGGCATGCCCAAAATCTTATTGAATAAAAAATACTTTATTGGAAAATACCGACTAATTGCAAGAATACATCTGTAAAACCGTGGGCTAAATGGAACATCACAAATAAATGCAAGCACAACAAAGCAGTTTCTTTTCAGGTACGGCCCCAGCAACAAAGGAACAGTTCCCGAACTCGTTGACGCAAACCCCTACCTCGATTTCTCGGCGAAGGGCTTGCAAGGGTTTGTGGAATGACGGGACCGGAAAGGCGGTCCGCAGTGTTGCAATTTGAAGTCCCTGAAATATATTTCAAATAGTAGGTTAAAAATGAGACCAACAACAGGATATTCAGGTGTGGAATCTAGGACGAAAAAGTTAAATATCCGGTTAAAGCGTGCCTAAAATGATGTTAGCCTAAATTAACGTACTGGGATACAATAAAGTTAGCTCGCATCTCCAGCAGGCGCAGATGCAATAAACCACACCTTGAGCGCGGAAGCGCGCTACTGCAGCTGGTGCATCTGGTCGACATGAGCAGTTAGTTTTGTGTATTCCACCCACTGGAGAGTCCAATGTGGTTATGTTGCCCCAACAGAAGGAAAACAAACCCCAGCCACCTGTAATGTGGGACCGGTCGTAATAGGGGTTTTTACAGGTGAGAACGGGGTACGCACCTTCGACGTTAAGGCCCTAATCAATAACGCCCAATCCTAACCGCTAGCCCCAACACCAACAGTAATATGTCCACATGGTGTGGTCACATAACCACATCTCACCCACTGGAACATTTATTTAACAAGTATTTTCACTCGAACGCGGCCTCATACCTTAGATATCCGACTGCCTACAGTAAACAAAACCCCTTGAATTCCTGTCTTAAAAGAGTCCAGTGAGGATGGAAGATAGATAGTACCTGCAAAGCCAAGCACATCAAAGTCCGACGTCGCCGTTTCCGAAGAAGCAAACCAGTGCAGAGGCATCGAGGATGTTGACGTGGAATCCACCTCAAGGACCGCCTTCTTCTCCACCCCTGCGTTTTTATTGAGAGAACTACTAAACCGGGAGAGGATGACTACCTGTCGCTGAACTTACCAGCAATTGCCTATCGATGATGATGAATGCAGGTGGCAGAATGCTCTGACTTTTTCAGATGTATGCCGCATTCCATTCTTGCGCACCATTTTGAAAATGCTCTTCAAAACATTGCCCAAGCAATGGCCAGTCTCATCATGAGGCAAGCTGTGACCAGAGGAATCAAAAGACTCTGTCGTCCAATTCATCGACTATAGCCCTCTTCAGAACGTCTGTGCAAACCGTCTCACACTCCGCTATCGGTCAGCATTCACTGGTACCAACTGAAAAGCTTTTTGTGGAAAAATTGTCTCGACATCGGGACGTCTGTACTGGAGACAACTGGCCTCCTCTCAGGTTGCTGGGAGAAACAGTTGACTGCTCAACTTCTGTACACTTACTGAGTCCGCCATACAACGGTAAAACTGGTGTATCCCTGTGTATATCCAGCATGCGACCGCGTCAAGTATGTAATGCCTAATTACAGTAGACCAGAGATGTGCCAACTGCACTTGATATGCATGGAGTGTTAGGCATGTGCACACAACCAGCTTCAACATTCATATTTTAAAAAGAGTATATCCAGGTCTATACGCCAAAACTGATCGACACCTGGCTCTCTACAACAAAAACAGTACTGGAGTGCTGCCTTCGAACACCGATACCATCCACATGCAAGTAATTCGTGAGGTAACATATCTGCCGCATATTCAGACCGGCAAAGCACGCGCTAATTAGAATTTAATGAAAAAAAATCAACTCGGACATCTTCAATTCCCGACTTAAATGAGTCAGATGGGAAGAGTTAAGAAAGAATACCTGCAGATGCTCCTGCTTCCGTGTTAGAGGCCTCGCACAGAGAAATACACGTGGTAGGCGTTGGGTTGGGTGTCGAACGGAGAACTAGGGGATAGGAAGGGATAAGAAATAATACCTGCCGCTGTATGGATTTCAGACGTCCCTGCTTCGGTCGTCGAGGCCTCGCCCATGGAAATAGACACAGACGACGTCGGAGTGGGTGTGGAACGGAGGCGTGTGTAAACTGAAATTGGAGAAGCCCCGGTGTCAGTCTCTAAATGCAAAGCGTTTTACAGCATGTGTGATCTATCCGCCCATCCCACCCCAACCCACCTCCCACAGTGATCACCATTGGTGAAGGAATCGACACATCTGTGGGATTCACATCTGGTAATGCAAGAGCAAGGCATCAGCACAACCGACGACCTAACCAAATGAACAACTAGGCTCCAATCTTGGCATCCGATGCTCTTACCAGTAGATGATTAGCCGAATAATTATAATATTCAAAAGCACCTACTAATGGAGTAGATGTAACCCAAGTTCCAATTAGGCTACACGGTCTCAACAGAGGCCATGAAATCATCCGTGTCGTTTACTAAGTCAGAAGAATACTGATAGCTCAGGTGATCACACGGTGATTCGATCATGTCTTTGTCATTTGTCAATGCGCACATTTTCAAGGCATTCATCCAAACAAAACCCAATCGGGGCACATCTCGCTATTTGAGTAGATATGGCCAAGTGTCCTTCATAGCTCATTCCTAGCCAGTCACATGAATGTACCTTACTGCTCCAATCGATGGAATGTTTCGTCTTGATTAAAGAAGGAGTTACAGTTACGGGGGGCATTATTTCGCTTTTGTCATCATTCTAAGTCGACTTTGGTGCCGACGTGTTGATAAGTCGGGAAATATGGATTCAGTATAAACCGCCTTGCTGTCTGTACAGGCACATTCAGTCTCTCCTAAGGCCCTTAGTTTGCAGTATCTTTCAGATGAATCTTAAAACTGCATCAACCTTGTCCCAGTCTCCAGACTACACAACCATTCGTTAATTAGAAGATACTCATTTGAAAACCAAGTCAGCAGAGGTTCGTTGCGATGCTGGAAGCACGTGTTGATGACAAGCAGTCGATTCTGATCAGCGACATTCAGCAACCTCTCGTCACGTTCACATCGAGAACCAAGCCCGCAGTGGCCAATAAGATGCATGTGGATTCGTTATGCTCATAAAACCCATTCCAATCTCCGGCAACAATCAGCAGATCGCTGTGACGAAAGTTTTCAACTTACGTTTACAGCTGCAAGTAAAGCACCTCTTTATCGTCCTGTTCGGCAGCTGAAGTTGGTGTGTACACAAATACAATAGAGGCGTTCGTGAAGTGACCCTTCAGTCGCACGTAGGCAGTTAGCTCATTGACTGGTTCCCAAGCAACTGAAACGAGGTCCGCTCGTTGCGAGAGGTGGGTATCTGCACCGTGTCTACCAGAAGAATAGCAATGGGCGTTGTGGTACAGGGTGAGGTGTGAGTCGACTCCAAGGATCTTTATTTCCCGAGAGCCTGAGTCAAGTAATCAAACCTCAGACAGGCAGTAGACATCTACCCTGTAGTGAGTAAGGCTGTGTGCGGTCAGACTTTGAGTACCAGGGTCCAGGAACATTCAAACATTCCAGCATCCAATACCAGGAGTCCGTCCCCGATTGTTTATTCTGGCTAACATACTAGTCGCCCGCACCACTGGACAAGGGTTGCTGAGCTCGTCGGTTTCCGCGGATGTCGTGGTATCGGTCGTAGTACTGTAGTGTGACATATTTCCTGAGGTTTCTTGGTAATTTTGAGTACAGGCGGACCCCCAACAGCCGCTTGGATTGTTTGTTCGAGCTCGTCTCATCTGGCGCTTTGGCTTCAAAGCGCATGCAGAAAGCAGCGGTCTCAAGCAAACTTATGCAGTGGTGGTCGACGGTTGCCATGCCACAGTTTCGTCATCGGGCTTTGAGACTTTTTTATGAGGCTTTTAGCATGCCAGAACTCAGCCCTCCGCACCCTGGGGGTAATGTTGCCGCTGGTCGGTGAATGCATATTTGTTGGACCTCGGTCTGCTTTCTTCGCAGCTAACCGTCAGTGAAGGCCGTTCCATTATCCGCAAACTGTGAACGGGCCGGGTAGCCAGCAGTCAGGCTAACGGGCAAACCGTCTTCCAGGGCAATCCGTATTCCCGGGGTCTGACTACTTCCATCCAGTGATCGGCAAGGAGAGAAAGGACAGTGACCGCGGCCCTTCGCATTATCTTCTTGTTTAAATAAATTTGACATATGCGTGCCCCATCCGGTGTTCGTGCCAATTTTAGGTTGTTGTTAAGTGGTGAGATTTTCTGGTCAAATACCCCGAAGGTCAGGTCGAGATGGCCACATTTTGGCCTCTTAAATAGATCTTAGGGATGAGGCTCACACAGACTGTTTATGTCTAGTTCGCATTGAAGGTGGACGAGGAACGTGTGAGGCACGTAGCGTCGGCCTACGGACTTTTACAAACCCCAATAAGTTAGTAGTCAGCTGTTTTGGAAAAAAGTCACGAATGCGGCTGATAAAAAGCTCGTCCGAAAACCAGCAGCACGACGTGACTGGAGCATCTTGCCAGTATGCAACACGATAATTAGCATCACAACCCTAGTTACCTTATCTTACGAATAGAAATCGCATTTCCGATGTTCTGCAAGTATTTCATGAGACAGCACATCCACTGTACATTCAGACTCGAAAATCACGTGCTAATTACAATCCACCCAAATCACCCCTGAATTCCCAATATATATGAGTCAGATGCGAAATAAAACCTGCAGCGCTGTGAATTTCGGAGGTTTCTGCATCCGTCGTCGAGGCCTCGCCCATGGAAACAGACACAAAAGACGTCGGGGTGGGTGTGGAACGGAGGCGTGTGTAAACTGAAATTGGAGCAGCATCAATGTCAGTCTCTAAATGCAAAACATTATCCAGCACGTCTAATCAACCCACTCAGTGATCATGCATTTGTGAAAAAATCGACACCTCTGTGAGATTCACATCCGCTAATGCATGCGCAAGGCCTCGGCACAACTGACGACCTATCCAACAGAGGCCATAGCGTCATCCGCGCCATATACTAAGTCAGAACAATGCTGATGGCTCAGGTGATCGCACGGTGACTTTATTCAGTCTCTGTCATTTGTAGAAGCGCACATTTTCATGCCTGTCATCCAATAAAGACCAAATCGGGACACATCTCTCACGATTTCAGCAGACATGGCCTAGTGTCCTTCATAGTTCATGGCCAACCAATCACAGGAAGGTACCTTATTGTTCCATTCGATGGAATACTTCGCCTGCATAAAAGTAGAATTGGCAGCCCCTTCGGATATTATTTCGCTTTTGTCATCATTTAAGTCAATTTTCTTGTATACCTTAAGATAATCAGTATCACAACCGCGACCAAGTAATCCTTCCTAATCGAAAACGCATTTCAGAATTTCAGCCAACATTTCATGAGATAGGTCACGCACTGAAGGTATGGCCTAGTGTCCTTCATAAGTCATGGCCAAACTATCACAGTTAGGTATCTTACAATTCTATTCGATTGAATGCTTCGCCTAGCTAAAAGTAGAATTGGCAGCCCCTTGGGACATTATTTCGCTTTTCTCATCATTTACGTTGACTTTGGTGCCGACAGCTTGATAAATCGAGAAAGAATTAGAATCTACTCAGAACACCCACCGTGATATTTTGAATTCCTGATGGAAATAAGTCAAATGAGAAGGGATGAGAAAGGATACCTGCAGGTGTTTGTATATCCGATGTTTCCGCTTCCGTCCTCGAGGAGTCGGACAAGGAAAAGGACATGGATGAGGTGGGTGTGGGCGTCGTCCCGAGGCCTGTGGGGACTCGATTTGAGACGGCGTCAATATCAGTTTCTAAATGCAAAACATTGTCCCGCATGTGTGATCTCTTCCCTCAGTGTTGTTAAAATGCCATTCCTTCAGGACTCCCCCCCACCAACCAGTGTTTCTAGCCATGCAGAGCTGGTTAACTGGATTGCAGTTGAATGACAGAAGGACAGGCCCGGTTTCCTTACGTTGTTGTTACATGTGTCAGTTCTTAGCTCTTGAGTAAATCAAACTCCACCCGTTGGCTGTTATTTGAGCAGTAGCATTTAAAGACCATGAATGTTGATGATAAAAGCTTCATTAAAAATATCCAAGTTGTTTGCCCGTAAAGGCTCTCTAACTCGCCACCTCCTGAGTCAGTGTGTCTATTTTTGGACCATTCTGCGGCTGCTTCAATCTGTGCCCATTAAATCACAGGTTACCTACCAATTACAGTCAGTAGAACCCGATAGAAACAATACTCACCCATGAATCCATTTTTATTCCACTGGTCCACCAAGGCCCTGAAGTTAATTCCGGACCTTACAAAATCGACATTCTCCAGAATAGCTGCATAAGGCGAATCAGCTTCGCCGGCTTCCAACAAAGTCAGAAAATCAGACAACCCTCGGTTGCTGGTAGTTTTGCTAAAATTCGGGAGCGCAACTCAGTGTAAATATATGGTCTGCGCATCCACGTCCAGCACAAAATCCGGCTTGCTTGGACATTCTGCTGGAGCCACGCACAGCCTTCAGTCGCATAAGAAGGACAATAACGAGGAGCCTCGCAGCAACATCGATGAGGCTTATGCTGCGGTAGTTCTCGCTTCCTGTCTTCGTTCCCTTCTTGAGGATAGGCATAAGCATGCCTGAGTCCCAGTCATAAGGAGCAACTTCATTTCTCCACTCCTGTTCAATCACTCCATATAGACAGGGCGCAAGAGTGTCAACAAACGACTTGTAGATTTCACCGGGAATACCGTCCCCTTCGGATGCCTTGCAGTATGCAGCTTATTTCGGAAGATTGGCAAGTATTTTATGAGATAGCACATCCCACTTTACATTCAGAGTCGGAACTCACGTGCTAATAACAATCCACCCAAATTGCCCACTTGAATCCCCTGAATACCCAATATAAATGAGTCAGATGGGACGGGATGAGAAAGAATACAAGCAGCTGCGTGAATTTCTGAGGTTCCTGCTTCCGTCGTCGAGGCCTCGCCCATGGAAATAGACACAGAAGACGTCGGGGTGGGTGTGGAATGGAGGTGTGTGTAAACTGAAATTGGAGCAGCATCAATGTCAATCTCTAATTGCAAAACACCGTCCAGCATGTGTGATCTATCCCCCCCCCACCCCAACACCCCACCTCACCCCCGCCCCGTGATCACTCTTGGTGAAAGAATCGGCATCTCTGTGGGATTCACATCCGCTAAAGCATGAGCAAGGCATCAGTACGACCTAACCAAATGAGCAACCAGACTCTGATCGAGGCATCCGATGCTCTTACCAGTAGATGATTAGCCGACTAATTTTAATATTCAAAAGCACCTACTAATGGAGAAGATGTAACCCAAGTTCCAACTAGGCTACACAGCATCAACAGAGGCCATGAAATCATCCGTGCATATACTCATTCAGAACAATACTGGAGACTCAGGTGATTACACGGTGATTCGATCATGTCTTAGTCATGTACCAATGCGCACATTTTCATGCCTGTCATCCAATCAAGACCAAATCGGGACACATCTCGCACTTTTTGAGTAGGTATGGCCTAGTGTCCTTCATAAGTCATGGCCAAACTATCACAGTTAGGTATCTTACAATTCTATTCGATTGAATGCTTCGCCTAGCTAAAAGTAGAATTGGCAGCCCCTTGGGACATTATTTCGCTTTTCTCATCATTTACGTTGACTTTGGTGCCGACAGCTTGATAAATCGAGAAAGAATTAGAATCTACTCAGAACACCCACCGTGATATTTTGAATTCCTGATGGAAATAAGTCAAATGAGAAGGGATGAGAAAGGATACCTGCAGGTGTTTGTATATCCGATGTTTCCGCTTCCGTCCTCGAGGAGTCGGACAAGGAAAAGGACATGGATGAGGTGGGTGTGGGCGTCGTCCCGAGGCCTGTGGGGACTCGATTTGAGACGGCGTCAATATCAGTTTCTAAATGCAAAACATTGTCCCGCATGTGTGATCTCTTCCCTCAGTGATGCTAAAAATCCATTCCTACAAGATTCCCCCCACCCAGTGATTCTAGTCATGCAGAACTGGCTAACTGGATTGCAGTTGAATGACAGAAGGACATGCCAAGTTTGTTTACGCTGTTTTTGCATGTGTTAGTCCTTAGCTCTTGAGCAAATCGAAGTAAACACATTGGCAGTTATTTTTGAAAGAGTACTTAAAGGGAATATAAATTACAATAGTCTCAAGGGAAAATTATCCAGATCCCTCTCGAACAAGGACATTCTAACTCACCACCTCCTGAGGCGGTGTGTCTATTTTAGGACCATCCTGCGGTTGCATCAATCTGTGCCCATTAAATCACAGGTTATCTATCAATTACAGTCAGTAGAACAGGATGGAAACAATACTCACCCATGAGTCCATTTTTATTCCATTGGTCCACCAAGACCCTGAAGTTAATGCCAGACTTCACCAAATCCACATCCTCGAAAATGGCTGCATAAGGCGAATCGGTTTCGGCAGTCCCCAACACGACCTCGTCTTCCTTTCCTACAAGGGCAGTTATGGCAGACATACGCAGGTACTACTTGCATATTCATGCCAGGCAGTAACATACATGACACTGCATTCCGACTGTCGATCTGGACTGTGTCCACCGTGTGCCCCACAACAAGGTCAGGGCAGGGAGGATGGCTTGTGCATGATTTAGTTTATTGTGAATATAGACGTGCACAGCATCAACCGCACTCTCTCTTCCCACTCCCCACCTGGACCGGGTGTCACGAGTCAGGAAGACCGAAGGCGGTTAGTGTGCAGGTGAATGGCATGATCGAGCCAGCACCTCAGCGTTCCCCTCCACACCCCCTGGTCCATACTGCAAATGACCAGGTTTTTGACCAACAGCAACAACAAAGGGGACGGGAAGAGGCAGGGGTCCCAGTGTGCGCAGCGTCTCCAAGCAACCGGGTCTGCCACCGCGACCCGAAAAGTTGACATTTGCGCGATCCGATGACCTCTGCCAGAATCCGAAATGGCCCTGTGTTCATCCAGCGCATCTCCAACGTTGCCCGTTTAGGGGACACACACACGCACACACATACAACTTCACACAACTGGTTGGTCTTCGCAAAAACCATGCCACTGACCTCAATAGCATGCTCCTCTACTTGAGATGGGAGACCTCTGACAAATCGTGCCTGAGACATGGATCGGGCATGTGTAACTCGTAGTCGGACTGCGTAACCTACACCACCACTCATTACGAGCTCACCTAAATAGACAGCATAGAATTTCTCGTGTCATTTCCTCAGGCAAACGTACGACATCTACGTCAAACTGCACTAACGCTCCAACAAGGTAAACGTCTTGAAGTGATTGATCATTTTCTAGGTTTGCGCAAAATATCCACTCGTGCAGCCTTGGCCTAGGATAAGTGCAATGTACACAAGTACTTATTTGAATTGTCAGGCAGATGTGAATGAAAGCTGAAGTTATGCGGGCTGAGTATCAATATCTCACAGCAAGCTCATATTTGCGTATATTTCAAACATCCACTACCTGCCGTAGCATGGTTATTACACCACACGTCTTCGTCCGCAGGAGTGCGTGGAGATACAACAGGCAGTGAGAAGGTTTGGTCCCTTCTATGACTGCTTCCTGTGGGATTTTCTGAGAAGCCTGTCGTTCTTGCTCTGTTCCTGTCAGAGCGACTAAGGAGACAGACAATGAGTAATCATTGAACTTACCGGTACTGCCGCACAGAGGCCGCAGTCGGAGCGACTATAAAGGTATTGGCAGCAATAACCTTCCTCACATTTCTGTGCTCTGGTAAGAGGTATAAATAGACGTTGGGCAACGGTAGATGTAACAAGTAAAGCACTGTATCCTTGATGAACTTGTAGGCCTTACCGATTTGCTCCTTAACCAAATCCCGTCCCTCGATGGCGGGCGTGACTGACGAAAGTCGCGTAACCTTTTCGTATTGTGGGTCTTTGGAGATGCTGAGATGGTTGACTGGGGCGAAATGGACAACGTTGAAGGTATGCTTAACGTAGTTGCTTACACCTGGAAGGAGATAGGAGACGCATTCAGATTTCCTGTACTTTCTGCTGCGTGCGAATCCAAGCACTTTAAGCAGTTTTTAATGAGTAAATAACGAATTTTAAATGATTTTCACCTAAAGCATAGCGGGTGTCAACTAGTGAAAGAGTAGCTGGAATGAGCCTTCTCACTTTTGCGTCGTTTAAATAAACTAAATATGCGTTCAATTATGCGTTTTATGCCCCCTTCGGGCATCGAAACGGCTACATTGTGGCCTCTCGTGTATCTCTCACGGATGAGACCAACACAATGGTTATGTTTGATTGTTCTATTCTATGGAGTGTTTCATCTTGCGTACACCGGTTTCACCGTCTCCTCTTACGATATTTCACTTCTGCCGACTTCGGCACCGATCGCTTATAAATTTTAACGACGAGTTTTCCTTGTCGCTAAATCCCTGAATTATTTGACACAAACTGCCTTGCTGTTCGTTTGAGCGCTTCCAGTCTCTTCTAGCACCCTCCATTTGCAATACTTTTCTGGTTGAACCCTAAACGTGCTATTACTATCAGCCAACGGCCTAGCAACAGTGATGTTGTCCTAAAGGAACCTGGGCAATATTCCTTAGAGCTTTTGTCTCCGACATCCTGCATCGGAAACAGGCCACGTCGGAAAATATTTTAACTCATTTCTCCTCGAGGCTAGTGATAGTCATAGACCTAAAGATATTTTCCTAGGTTAGTATTCGGACAGTTGTATCCGTATTGACTTGTTACTAGAAGTGCCTGTAAAATCATCGCTGCATAATGAAATTCGTTCCTTTTTTAACTTGCTAATCTTTAGGGAAGCAACGTGTACCGTTAAGGAAAGGATCGGGTAATGCAAGGGTCATTCGACGAAAATGGAATTTGAACATTCACTTACCCTGATGAATTCTGAAAAAAGCGCTACTCGGTATATTCCTTAAGGAGGGAATGGGATGGGTTTGCTCAAGATCCTGATGTATTTCATACATATAGGCGAATCTACTGTAGGGAATATCTGAAACAGAAATAAAGTAGGGTCTTCAGTGGAAAGTAATAATGGCAGTGGGTTGAGCTCGCTTTATGAAAAAGGAGACTTGTAAACGGCAAGGACTGTTAAGCCTTTGGGAGAAGATAGCAGACAAAAATCAGTATGGATTAACCGCACATTGAAAAGTCTGTAACAGCAACTGCACCGGCCTGCGTTAGCTTTTTCAGTATACCACTAATGGAAATTTTCTCGCTGCCGCATAACCAGGATTACTGCGCCTGCGCTGAGATCGATTTTCAAGCACCTGGATTTCTGCTCATCCACCTTGAAGTACACCCACGTGTGGGTGTATGAAACGTATAGTTCTAAGCTTCTGATTGACTTAATAGTGAGATTTTTATAAACTGTTGTACGGGCTCCACCCAGCCTCTGACTCTAGAGCACTGGATTATTTAATGCTGTTGAAAATATGGAAAGACGGACTCTGTTTGGTGGCGGCAATCTTATTTGCTGTTTTTACTTCCAATTGACCAGTTTTTAGGCTTAAGCATTCTTTCATCTCAAATTCACGACTGACTGATGCGACCTGAGCAGTAGTAATCCTACATTAGCAAATTTGCTTTGAGGAAAAAACTTTGACCAAATTTGGCGGTGTTCACTTACACTTAGATGATTCAGAAAGTATAAAGAGAGGATTCAAGCAAATTAAGCCTTTAGAAAGACAAGACTTAAAGTAATGCACAGGCATACTTACACGGTAGTGTCTGTTGTACGTTAGAAAACGAAGTTCTACTGGTAGGTCGCAGAAGCAGTTGGCCGAAGATTCGACGAAGCGCGTCCATGGCTTAAGCTAGTGCAAGTGAGAGCCGCTGGATATTCCGCGGGACAAATTATCGATGGAAAACTTGAAGCGATCGATTAGCTCGCACTTGGTCATGGCCGAGCACGTGCGTTTTCACGCCGGCCTAGAAATGGTTAAGGAGACGAAAAAGACCAGATCACGATTTGTTAATGTCCTCTTAGGAGCTCGACACATTTTCTTTTTTTATATGTATGCTCTTCGGAGACAGTCAGGGCAGGTGGTTAAAAGCGGATCTGACTCTTATTGCAAAATTGCTAACTACAGTAGTTGGGCTAACTGAACTCTGTAAGTCACGTCACAGTCATGGTGAAAATAGGGCCATTTGGGTTGAACACACAAAATCCCAGCTTGGTACATGTTGTAATTTGTCAAATAAACACAGAGCAGAATTCCGTGCAGTATGGAACTAGCCAGCTGCATCCCGCTCGATGGTATATCGCAAATACCGATCGTTTATTTGCTTGACGGTAATTGAATAATCGGAGCAGATTTCATTTCTCCAAGAGTATGAAGGTCACAGCGCTAGCTCCAGTTACACTCACTATGATCGTGGAAGGCTTTAACAACGTAATTTTGCCTAAATACTGGATGGTGGTCGACAAGTCTTTTACTAGTTTGGAGCGTTGTTGTTGTGAGCGTGTTCAAGAGGCAACTGGATACTCACCTGCTGAAAGACAACCCGAACTGCCGAAGCCTGATCTAACGAATTACTGAAAAGACTATAAATATACTACTGACATGATTTCAACAGATGCTTTTTGTGCGTCATACTCGGCCCATTTGGAAATTTTTACAGTCCGAGTGCGGTGAACAAAGTTTTTCGCAATACCATACCACTTTCGCATTTATGTTCCATTATTAGATTTATGAATTCTCCTTACTAAAACTGCAAGCAAAAGTTTTCCAATTTAACTATTTTCCCTTACATCTGCACCCTCTAAATGGAGTTTTCAGGTCTTCTGTCGTTTACTCCAAATATACTGACTGATACTGACTGAAGGTTCAGTTGCGGAGTAGGCGGTCTACGCGCACGACACTCATGGGAGACGACGCGAGACCGATGTGAAACACGTCAAGATCAAGAATCCTGTTGACCCCACACAAACAGACATATTAATATGAAATCACTGAAAAACGGACGCACATTAGTGCAGAAAGGACAGAAGAAAGTGCTGCGGCTTCGTGTCGAGCTCAGTTAGTAAATGCGGTTCCTGGATTTTTATGGACATTAAATCTGCCTAATTTACACAGATAACCATATTATCAGCTCGACCATCGCAAATAACGATGTCCAAATTGTGCTCCACAGCGAGGTGCGTACAAGGCGGGAAAGTGTGAGCGAATAAGCTTCTAGTGATATCGGACTTCCACAGCATCTGACGCACTCTCTCACCCGTCACCCTCCTGTGTCTGGTCGCAAGACAGAGTCAAGACGGCCGTGGGTGTGAATGGGCGCAATGAATGCCAAAACGAAGCAGCCCCTCTCAACTTGTTGCACAGCACGTAGGCCGCACATGACGAGCAGGTTTTCATAGAATAACATGGGTCCGGTTGAGAGGCGGATTCAGCAGGACTAGGGGCGGGATCGTGTTCCGCCGACAGGTGCGGCGTGAGCTCGCGCCTAGGCGTGCCACCCCGCCTCTTTGCTTGTGCACAAAGAACCGGGACTTCCCATAACAAGGGCATGGGGTAGCTCGGATCCCAGCTGGGTCATAGTATCATAAAGGACACTTTAAGAAGGAGTCATTGTAGCCTGACTGTCTGTCCGGAGAGAAGAACCGAGTTACCCCGTCAGTCGGCAGCATTCCCTGTTACGAACTTCACTTTCCTGTGATAGTCTAAAAGCGCGTCGGACTTATTTATGGTGAGGAATGCGCTGGAATGCCATGGAGGCGGGATAACCGGAGTTGGTCTCACTCATTCGTCCCTATTCCATGCTATTCACCTCGGTCAGTCAGCTAATGGTGGGATTGGATGCAACTGACTCACAGGTATTAAGAACTGTAACAGATGCAGGGTGGTCTCAGAAGCAGGTATTTTTCGACGACGGCTTTTGCTGGAAGAAAAAGTAAAAGCTCATCGTCACAAGGGCCAATCAGAATATGCTCCTGAACGGAAAACATTCCATGCGTTTTCTGTGCAAGAGACGCTTTCTCATTAACTCTGACAGCCTTGTACTCTCCAGCCAAGTCTTATCCACGACGAGGTCCAAATGAAGTTGCGCAAAAGACATAGTCTGCGTGCACTAGCAGTGCTTTGGTAATTTGCTTGGCAAATGTTCCCTTCATCCGGACTTAAATTCTGCTCTATAAGGAGAAGGCTCGTCGGACAATCGAGGAAGACTCGTGAATTTTCAAGTCGGTTAAACGAACCGGTCGTCAGACGAAAATGAAAAGTGTGGGGGAGATAATGCCATGCGCCGCTGTGTGGGCTGCTGGTTGGGCACGAGAGAGAGTCCTTAAGGCACAACGGAACGAGTGGGTTCCGTATGAACGATCGGTGAGCGCCCCCTACCATTGTATATTCCCGATCGAAAACCGACAGGTCAACAGGCTCGTGGCCCGGTGGATAGAGGCGTGGACTTCTAAATCAACAGGTCGCTAGTTCGAGGCTCGGGTGTTCCACACTTCGGGCTTGAGTATGGCTGGCTGACGACGGCTTATAAGCCAGAAATGACCATTCCAGTCTCCCTTGTCTTTGTCGCTAATGCCATTCTGCATATATACAGTAGCTGTGCTAACTGATGAAATGTCAACCAAAATTTCGAAATGCGTTCTCGTTTTGAAAAGATAAATTATGTAGTGTTGTAAAACTGATCATGATGCAGCATAAATCTATAATGATCCAGTTACCTCAGGGTGTCGGCTTTCGAAAGAACCTATTTTGGGCTGCATGCAAGATTTATACTCTGCAGAAAATGACTACTTATGTGGCATGCAATTTTCTCATTGATTTTCGATGCCCTTGAAAATTCAATTATATTTCACGGAAACCATGCATAAAAATATTTATTTTTTACTTATTTGATAAGAAATCACGTTTTCTTCCAATTTCCTACTCAAAAGAAGAGTAAAATTCGGTTTTAAAAAACTTTTCTAATTCCCGAATAATTCTGAACCCGACCTGCTGTTACATTTGCATTCAGGGTTTCAAACCTACAAGCTGTAGATTTTCCGTATACGGAAAATCATGCATTTCTCTACGGTGTTAGGAGGAGGCCATATGAGGTTCATAAAATTCAGCAGTGGATTTGAGCAATATTGTTAACTTTACAAGCCACATTCGTAAATGCAGATACATGACGTTTCATGAACGGCCATTTAACGGTATTAAAAAATCTCACAATTAGAAACTTTTTAAAACCTAATTATACTCTTCTTTTGAGTATGAAATTGGAAGACGACGCGATTTTCTACCGAATAAGTAAAAAAATGAATATTTTCATGCACGTTTTCCATGAAATATAATTGAATTTTCAAGGGCATCGAAAATCAATGAGAAAATTGTATGTCACTTAAGTAGTCATTTTCTGCAGAGTATAGATGTTGCATGCGGCCGAAAATAAGTTCTTTCGAAAGCCGACAACCTGAGGTAACTGGATCGTTATAGATTTATGCGGCATCATAAGAAGAGAGGGATTTTCCTCTCGGTTTTATCCTTGCTGTGTACAAAAGCATCAATCAGGTGGCGCGTCTGCTACGTCTCATATATCGGCCACAAAACGTGTACGCCACTCACGTGGATAGAAAGACACTACAGGAGTTCTATGACGCAGTCCAAGAAATCGCAAAATGCTTCGGTGCCAACGTTCGTGTAGTTCCTCGAACTGAAAATGTCAGGGCCATCTGGGGAGATTACACGGTTCTAGAGCAGGAACTCGTTGCCGCGCGAATGCTCCTTCAAATGGGAAAATGGCGGTACTTCATATATCTGACTGGCCAGCAATTGCCTCTGAAGACAAACTTGGAATTGGTTCTTGGAATTGATGGCTCCAGCATCATTGACACCACATTTAAACACTGCAATAAACACCGGATACCGAGACTTAGACCGCCACTTGCAGTAGGTGGTGGGACCTGTAAGTCAGCTTATTTCATGGTGTCTTCAACCAAATCATTCACTTTGACGCCTCCTCTAGCAGACCTGATAGCACCTGTAACGTGCTGTCTAAGCGCTGCAGATTGTTGCCTGGATAATAATGTTCTTACTCTGGCTGTTCTAAATCACAGTCAGTAGGTAGACGGAATGGGGAATTGCTGTGATGCAGACACCGCAAGGTACTGCAGGAAATAGCGCTGTTATGGCTAATGACGGGCGAAAGCAGGTTTGTACGGTGTTGCAGAAAGCGAATGAAGTAAGGTTTAAAAATCAGCGTTGCGGTCTTTGGTTAGTCCGGCTTTAAGAAAGCCGAACGAAAACAGGTGAGTCCTCATTGTGCGTTCAGCCTGAACTCAGACTGTTCAGGTGTTTAGACAAATGGCAAGACGTATTGTAGGACAGCGCGTCGTTAATGGCCGAAGCTGGTCCGTTTAATCTTAAATCAGTAAGTCAGACCCCAGTCCCAAATGTAGCCTACTATATCTGTCTAGAAGGAGGGGCTAAGATGTAATAGCCGTCTAGTTTGCCAGACCAGGCGGATATAGAAAGACGTAAATGTTTGTCAGCTTTATTGGTGACTTTCACTTTGAAGCTGAAGACAGAACCAAATACTGCCTTTTGTTCAAACTTACGCTTAACTTTAATCGAAAAAGAAGATAAACGTTTGTAGATAAGCTGCTGCTTAACGCATTATTTAAGTGCAAAAATACAGACTACCTAAATCGGCATGTTGCATATTCTCAAACACACTGCCCAATTTCAGATTTTCACATGGTTAGCAAGTCATGTGCCGCGTAGTGTGCCTATGGACCCTTCGAAGTCTGTATGGAGAGGCTTCCTGATATTCATACACAGTGGGCAACAGTGAAGAATCTGAACGTAGGATGGCATGGCTTTAATCCGCGTAGAAGTCCCCTTGCCTATACAGGACGGCATCTGGCAAGGAAGTCAGTGGGAAGTAGGAGGATGAGGCGTAAACAGAAACTGCAGGTCTCAACATTAGTGGCATAAGGCCGCTTACCGAAGTAATAGGATAAAATAAGAGTAAAGGGATTGAACGTGACATAGCCAACGGCATGAAAGAAGAAACGGGGAACGCTTTCCCGCAGCCTATAGGGTGACGGACAAAGGATTACGAAGCTCATCAACACTCTCAGACAGAGATAAACAAAGAGACCTGACAGAGTGCTTAACGGTGGGTGTCAGTAAGAACGCTCACGGAGAAAATCAGCCCAACCGTTTTTTGTATCTTTGCAATGCAGGCTGATATCAGACTGGATGAGTGATTGGCCACACTCTGGACCCTCTTGTCTACCACAGTGTTAATGTTCAGCAGATTCTTTGATGTTCGGTTGCAATAACTGCACGGCCTAAACAAAGTACATATTTGTACACAGGATCGACTTGTTTTGCCTGCCTACGGGGGATTCTGCCGTTGCAAGTGACGCTGTCTGGCAGTTTTTAATAAATCGGCGTCATCTCGTTAATCATTGGGACGTTTCCACCCGGCTTCACACAGTGATCGAAACCAACAAATACATGTGAGGATGTTGCTGCTATCGTTGTCAGTTTCACAGTTTTCCAGTCATTCTCTTAGATGCTCCTGAGCCTCTTTATGAGCACCGCCTTCTACGATCAGTGAAGGAGTTGATAAACTTTTCCTTTTATTTTCCCTTCCATAATTCAAACAGGATTCCATCTCCTACAAATCAAGCTCTACGTATCCTCCAAGCACACCTCGACGTTTTCTGTTACACCGGATATACTAGCCTATGGAATGCGAAGCATTCCAACCCTGTCCAATGCCCAGACTTCATTTCCTTACGAGAGACGCCTCATCGAGCACTGTAATTGAGCCTTTTACTTGGGAGAACGTCAGAGAAGGGTCGGAAACATTCAGTTACAGTCCTGAGGTAAACATGCTGCATGGATGCGCCTGATTTAGTACTAATAACAGGGGAATAACGTTGCTTTGCTTGGCTGAAATTGAAAGACAATATCTTTTGCAGTGGATGCAACAAGTAGTAGAGGCAGGATAGAATTGCCGTCATTGAGACTGGGATAGCCACTTCTGGCTTATTAGCCGTCCTCAGCCAGTCAAGTCCAACTACGGAGCTCGCAACCCAGCCAGGATCAAACACCCGATCAGTTGGCTAGAAATCCAACGCCCTAAACACCGCGTCACGGGCTCGTTGCCTTCGCAGTATTGATTGTGAATATTGTTATTGGTAAATGGACACACTAGCACCGTTGGTCATTCAGCAGATTCTTTGATGTTCGGTTGCAATAACTGCACGGCCTAAACAAAGTACATATTTGTACACAGGATCGACTTGTTTTGCCTGCCTACAGGGCAGTCTGCCGTTGCAAGTGACGCTGTCTGGCAGTTTTGAGTAAATCGGTGTCACCTTGTTAATCACTGGGGAATAACGTTGCTTTGCTTGGCTGAAATTGAAAGACATATCTTTTGAAGTGGATGCAACGAGTGGTAGAGGCAGGATAGAATTGCCGCCATTGAGACTGGAATAGCCACTTCTGACTTATTAGCCGTCCTCAGCCTGTCAAGTCCAACTACGGAGCGCGCAACCCCGTCAGGTTCAAACACCCGGTCATTTGACTAGAAATGCAATGCCCTAACCACCGAATCACAGAATGGTTGTCTTATCGGCATTGATTGTGGATATTATTATTATTTGTAGATGGACGTCCAACTGTCGGTTACAGGACACATTAGCACCGCTGGTCATTCCAACCTGCCCTGTTTTGTTGACGAATATTGTACTGGTCGATATGCGACTGCCGGCGGGGCTCCATATTTAGTCCCAAAATCACAACAGCGCGAGTTTCGATATAGTGTGTTTTCATGGAAAGCTCTGCCTACAAGTGGCCACTTGAGCCTATCTCGGAGACCTGTCTAAATATGGAACCTCATTACAAATGTTAATGCATTTCCAGATCGAAGGGCTGTGATCGAGATATTTTTGAGCACTCAGACAACAGTTCTGAATAAGTTTGCTGCTTAAAGGTGGCTTTGTCATGGCGGATTCCCTCATCGTTTCTCTAATATTGCGCGAAAAAACATTGACAGATATTCCCTGTGAATAGTCTTTAGAAGCATATAATGGTACTTTTAAGTGTACAAAAAACAAAGTCGCCGTCTTGCTTACTTGTGGACCGTTTTAGTCTGCCCTGCTTTTTCCTAGGCATTGTTCCGTTATTAGTAATTCTCCAGAGATTGACCTGCTAGATATAAAAAAATATTAACTAACGACTCCCGTGGCAGTCTTTCGGCTGTCAATTCCCGTATGCGTTCAAAATCGGCAGGAAGTGCCTTCAGAGGTGGATTCCAGACGCTGCAGTAAGTTGGGCGGGTAAAGGTGACCCGAATGTGATTAAAATCGCGTCATCCGGTGGGATCTCGTAGCTCAGATGGTTAGAGCGCTGGCTGTACTGAAGTCTCCCATTGCTGTAGTGGGTTCGAATCTCACCGAGACACCGAGCTTTTCACAGTTGGGTCAACGTGAAGGAAGTGCCTTGGCATCTCCATCACACAGCGTGACACAAAATAGTGGCAGCATGTCGCGGGACTCAGTACAAATCTGTCTACCACTACAAATTCTCAGCGTGGTAAAACAACCTACTAGTAACCAAGTTTATCATTGCATTTCATTGCAAAACAGTCCCCAATTCGCAAAATAGAATTTCTGGCGGTTACTCCATCCAAAATTCTTTGAAAATAGTGCGATATCATGAACCTAACATCTCACTTTTCGTCCCTTGATGAGATTCAGTTGACAATTTTCTTGCTTATATTAATTTTCCCTTATGACACAACGTGGAAAAAATTAAAAAGTTTGACAGGTGGCACTAAACAACGTGGGAAACTACTTGGATATGAGGAGACGTCCGACTCTGTCTAATCCTGGCCTGTTTCCGTTCCATTAAACAGGTGCAAAATAAATTCTTCTCTGGCAAAAGGCTTTCCGTGCCTCAAATCAAATAAATAGACAAGAATTTACTGACCGTATTTCTAGACGTTATTCTTTTTGCGGTCATATTTACTCGGCGTTTTTCACGGACAGGTATTCTGTATATTGAAAGCTCACATTCTCGGAATTTTCGGATTTTCTGAAAAAACTGATATTTCTACACAACCTTTAGTATTTATTTCATAGTTTCAAATCCCTTAAAGTTGTTCTTCATTAATACAGGTATTAGCTTCATTCATCGCCGTCGGTTTGCAAGTGATTATCAATCATTCGTAAGTTTCGTCACCTTTCACCTACTGTACAAAAGTAAATAGTCAGGAATAGGAACTACTTCGGGAAACTACGACATTCATTGTGTCAAATTTCGAGGTTGATCCTCTAGCTCGTCGTCAGACTGTGGATGGTATAAAAACCAATTAACTTCCTTACTCTGTCTTCCAAGGTATCCTACAGCTGCGCGGACTTTGAACACTGAGATGAGTCGACATATTGAATTAGATGCCATGCACGAAAATCGCAGGGAAGCATAGAAGAGACAGCAACCAATTGATGCGCAATCGTATATGTTGCGGACGATTACTAGCAGAAATGTAGGAGAAGTATTGATCTTTAAGCATGTTTTAAATGTTGGCAGTTACTTGTACATTTACTCAAGTCTGACAACCACCCTGTCAACAGACGTCGAAAGTTTCTAAACAAATTTCCTGTCTTTTCCAAAGAACCTACTGTCTTCAAAAAATATTGACTCTTTCTTATACTTTCAGGTTACATGGCCCAAAAACTCAGTTCACGTTGTGCTTTCGGGGGAATTCATTGAATTCATGCTGAATGGCGGGAGGGCATTCAACCTCCGAGACATGCTCAGAAATTATTCCTACCACAGGTTTCCGGATGAAGATTTCTACGGAACGCTCGTCTACAATCCACGGCTTGGTGTTCCTGGCGCCATTTACCCATTTACAGAAGCATTCTCGCCGCAACAAATCCCTGCTCCAGGGCCGTGTATTCTCCCCAGACGACACGGGCACAATCATTTCGGGGAACCACACCAACGTTGGCACCGAAGCATTTTGCGATTTCTTGGACGGCGTCATAGAACTCTTGTGGTGTCTTTCAATCTACGTGAGTGACGTAGACGTTTTGTGGTCGATATATGAGACGTAGCAGACGCGCCACCCGAGTAATGTTTTGTACACGTTGAGAATAAAACCGAGAAGAAAATTCCTCTCTTCGGCTGCTATCAGCACTTCGGTGGGGAAGAGGTCTCGCTTGAATGCCTCACAGAGTTTTCAAGAGGCCATGTTCAGGGACAGGAAGTACTGCATACTGTGCGACGGCAGCGTCAAGTGCTTGAACTCGTGATGATCCTTGGACGCTTTATTGGAGAAGAGGAACTCACATCGTCTCATCTTATTCTCCACCCCAGTAAACTCATATACAGACCTTGTTTTGGTTGCATGACGCTTAAGACTCCATAGTTACACAGGGTGCAAAAGATGGTAATTATGAAAATTGCAGCACCTCTGCACGCCATTGGATATCAACGCGCGCGCTCTCCGTCCCGTTTTTGGTGATGAAATGCGAGTAGCATCCGCTTTTAGGGCTTGCATGCTGCCCAAGCTTCTCAACCGTCATCTAGTGGACTACCGAATGACTGTCAACAAACTACTAACATGAATTCAATAGATCGTTTTTGTACATTAAATTTGATCCAAATGGCAATTTTCTCTGTGCGAATTCAGTGACCAATTTTTTACGGTTATTGCGCAAATGCCTCACCTTAGTTAGCATTCTGTTCACTAGAGCTACATGTAATATTCTTGCAATTTAAATATTTTGATTCACACTTATACCCTTTAAATGGAGTTTTAGGGACTTCTGCCATTTACTTAAAATACACTGACTGACTGGTTGACTGATACTGGCTGAGTGTGAAATGAGAAGCGAGGAGCAGTGGAATGCGAAACCCAATGCGAAACCCAAGCTGAAGGAGACAGAGTTGATTCAGTTTACCGAAATCTTTGGATACGGTAGGTTACCTAACTCGTGAAAGGTTTCGAAATTTACGAATGATTGCCACTCACCCGCAAACCGACACTAACGCGTGGACCTAGTATCTACGCTAATAAAGTAAAAATTTAGGAAAATTAAAGGCACTGATGAAATATTAAAGGCAATGTTGTGTTTCATCGAAATAACACTCTTTTAGAAAAGCGACAAATCTGGAAAACGTCAAAAGTGATTGTAACTTAGTAAACTTCGTTTTTAGATGTACACAATGCCTTTCCATGCAAAAATGCTGAATAAAATTTGAAAGCACGAATAGAGTAGCAGTCAGAAATCATGTTTTAGTGAAGTGTACACCTAAATATTCTTTAAGAATTAGTGTAATTTCAGTTATGGCGACTTTCCAACTCTCTACTGTCGGAGCATTGATTCCAAAACAATTTCCCGAGGATTCCTGGTATCCTTTACGGATTTGAGTTGATTGAGCTGTGTTTCAATAGGATAAATAGAAGTTAATTTGGGTTAGCCTATAAGGGCGACAAAGGGAAAAAAGATTTCAGAAGATCACATGCTGCTGGGTCGATCGATGCCTAACAAATTTAGATAGAACTGACAGGCGTAATCGTAAACACCCCATTTTGTGTTTCTAAAGAGGATTTTCTTTTGTGAAATTAATTTATAATTTTTGTTTGTTCAGAATGCCGTTGAGTTTCAGATTGGCCTTGAATTATCGCTGAATACTTCATGATTTCCAGCGTTCTCATCTGATAACCCATAAGAACAGATTCTGTATTATGTTTCTGTTAAAGACATTGAAGAAAGTTATTTCTCGGAGACATTTACCGAAGTAGCAAGTGTCTGGACGTTCATTTTCATGTAGAAGGTCGTTTTGGTCACACTTGAAGACTCACTCAAACAGGAAATCTCATCGTCGAATTTAATAAACGTCCACAACGAAAGTCTTCAACCAATATGTCTTAGATCAATTAAAAACCTTCTCTGATAGGTTTCCTCTTTAAGGAGTGCCTTAATGTTGCACTGCGTTGACGGATGTCTCTGTAATTTGCATTTTTGTTCGGAAAGATCAAGAAAACATTTGAAACTTTTGGCCTTTTCTTTCACGTTTCTAAAAATACTAATATTTTTCAATCATAAACGTACGAACATGTCTTTCGCCATGTATTGCGGCGATTTCCACTGTTTTTGTTCGCAATTAAACTCCCTTTTACGATTATGAATGCACAGCAGAGTAGCCACATAAAGACCGATATTCGCTGAAACTGCTCATGTTTTGTTCGTGCCATTTGTGAATTAGGTATGCGCGGGAGCTTGATTGCACAAGAAGTAGTTTCATATGTTCAAAAGTACAAATGACTATTCGATTTCCCTGACAGAAACTGGGATTCTCTAAACAACAAAGCGATTTCGTATTGACCCAACTGTGAGGAACTCGACGCCTCGGTTGGATTCGAACCCACGACAGCAGATGAAAGGCTTTAGTACAGCCGTCGCTTTAGCCATCTGAGCTACGAAGCCCCACCGGAGGACGCGAATTCAGTCGCATTTGGGTCAAGTTACCCGCCCAGCCTATTGCAATCTCTGGAATCCACCAAATCTGATACAGTAGGCTGACTGCTCAAGCAGGATTTCCTAAGTAATCCATCTAGAATTCCCTAGATGCCTACCTGACAGACGTAATATATGTTTATATTTGCAATTGAACTAAACTTACTTATTCGAAATCTGTTCAATTACTGGTATTTTGCTGAAATCGTTAATGTCTTGTTCGTTCCATGTCTGAATTAGGTATGCGAAGAAGCTAGACTGCACAAAATTACTGAAATTGACTACTCGGTAGTGGTCATTTTTGCGACAGCAAGTGGAATTTTCCAAATAGCGAAACAATTTCAGGCGATTTAAACGGAGGATTGCCTGTGTGCGTTATTATTGTACTTAAGGACACCAAATCACATAGATCTGCTAATATGACTTCTAAAAATCGATAAAAAAATCTGATTCTCTAGAATAACCTTTGTCTTAGCAAGTTGATCTCCACGGTTATCATCGGACAAAAACAGAATTTTAAGTCCGTCAAACTCTGCCTATTAAAACTGTCAAGGGAAAATTACTCTCAAAGAAAAATCCGCTCAGATGCACAACCGAAGTCTAGGACAGGTATTAGCATAGGATTTCGCGACGTCCATTTTAGCCCAAATTTACGAACATTTTGCTTGAGTAGATTGCGTGGACACACTTTGTCGGCGCAAGAAGAGGACATTCACCTGAAGAGGCTAGGTGAACAAGCGAAATGCGCAACGTTTAAGACATCCAAAATTGCCACATCAGTTTTTGTCCTCAGGTTTCAGAAGATGGATCACGTACTGTATGTTGCATACTATTTATTTGCCTGTTTCACTTGTTTTTCAGTTTCGGAATAAGGAGGGATAAATCAACCGGAATATATGTTTCGACTCTCGGATAAAAGTCCAGTCGTGGGGAAGTCTAAATAATCACATGTCGCATACATTCAAGTTAATGGATGAGGTGACCTCACACTTTCTGATGTTGCTTGGTTCTTTCTCTGGACGTTGTTTGTGCTCATCTTAGTAGAGTGAAGTTTAGCGCCGATACAATATGGACAAGGTAAGCGATATATTGTTGGTGGGCAAAATCCCATCAACAATTTTAGCTTTGGTCGTTCCCATGTTGCTGAAAACTCTTCACTCCGAATTACTCCTAGTATGTACATGCAGAATCGATACGAACGTCCTCCGCTGTAAGTGAAATATCAAGGTTGCAACCCGTCTGTGGAGTAATTGTGTGAGACACCCCCTGTGCCCCAGGTCCTCATGAACCGATTCCTCTCATCCCATCTTGCGAACAGATGAAGCTCAATTGTTGCAGCAATCACTACCCTTTTGGCGTGAGGAGGCGGTCGAAGTTGAAGTTCAAATGGCTTCTAATAATCTTGTGTCTCCGTTACATGTACAGTATCTGGCCTGACTCATGCAATTTTAACCGAAATTCTGCGGTGTGTTTTCGATTAGGAAGAACAACTAAAGTGGAGTTGTTTGCGCCTGCTCAATAAGGAAAGGCCCTGGAATCAATACGCTCAGATGAGGCATGCATCAATCGGCATATCGAATTCGATTCCGCGTACGAATGAAGGCAAGCGCAGCCAATTCTGACGCACATTTGCGCGAGCTTCCGGAATTACTTGTTCGGCACCGTCAAATAGTAAACTATTTTTGTACATGATTCGAAAGCCTGATGACGAGCTGGGGAAACGGTCTCGAAAATTTACGCAGTATACATTATTTTGTCTTCAAATCGTCTCGTCAAATACAAAGTACATTTCTTTGGATCCCCCTTTTCCAATACTGATCATCTTACAGCATAACCCAACGATATTTCAGTCACATCGGGATTCTTGCCTTTGAATGGGCTTCTCTCTGGTCGTCTGGTCAGTAAAAACGACTCCTAAAGTATTATGAATTTCTCCTATTGATTTTTAGTATCTTTATATATCTAAGCAACTTTGATGGAAATCACACATAAAATGTTCATTTTTGTGTCCACAGGCAAGCACAACTTCTTCGGGTTTTAGGCTTTGAGAAAGGCTATCTTTCGCTGTAAAGGGAGGTAGAAATTATAAGACGTTTAATGACTGTGAATTGTAACATTATAAAGCATCGTATATCCCCGTTTATTAATGGCATCTAAGAAGTATGCAACGCGGTCTACATTCATTTCAGAGTTTTGTGTCTAATATATGAGGCATAATTCTCCTTACATGAGAATTATACAGCAACCTAAGGATACACCTTCTTTAAGTATCAAATTTAGTTAAGACGCTACTTACTATCAGTTGAGTACAAGGGAAAATATAATTATGCCTGTTCTCTATAAAATGCATTTGCATTTCCAAGGACATCGAAAAACTGCGAGAAAAATCCCCAACAAATAAGTAGTCATTTTCTCCGAATGTGGTTTCTGTAGGCGGTTGTAAAAAACATATTAACAAGCCGGCGTCCCGGTGTGACTGAAATATCCTGGGATTATGCTGCTAGGCAATAAGCATTGCAATCACATCTAGGTGATCTTTTCTACTCGAAAACACATTTCAGAATTTCGGTCAAAGTTTCATGAGATAGACCAGCCTCTTATTGCAGACAAATGATCATCCACTATCGGATCCCTCTGCAAAATTAATGGGACCTTTGGTAAGGTAAGTGTCTATCATATATTCCTCCACACAAAGGAGTTACCTAGCAACAACTAACAGTTATGCGACGCCAACGAGTGTATTAAGAGTTGGCAATGCGACACGGGGGTGACTGTGGTCACCTGACGAAAAGACTGTCGTATGTGCGGCAGCACCCCTGAAGATAATAATTGTTGAACTCCGACACATAGTGGAGGCCTCATTTGTTAAGATGTGGTTTGGTAGCCCCACCTAATGGACGCAATACTGTTGGGGTTGGGGTTAAGCGTTAGGGGTCAGGGCTGAGGATTAGACGTTTGAGATAGGGGTTAGGACAACTATTTCTCACCCATCCTAAGTACAACCGCGCATTCCCAATAGCTTTTCTTTTGCATACAACTACTTGACCTCGTCGCCTGTGCGTTGCCCGGTCCCACCTGTAAAAATCCCTTCCAACTACCACCTGTTCCGTATTAGAGGTGACTGGGGTTTGTTTACTTTAGGTGAGGCTACCAAATCACATCCGATCCCTCATTTATTTCTGGTGCCCGTAGGCACTTAAGTATTAACGGTGGCTTACTTCTGTCCTCAAAGGGAAATAGCAAGTGAAGCTATACTGATGAATGGTAAGTAACATCCCCAGATAGCGTGTTGTCTTCTGGCTAAACATCTTTTCTCTCACTTATGCCAATCACAGCGGGCTAAAATGTCTTTCACTATGACCAAACTGTGAAAAAGCCGATGCCTCGTGGGATTCGAACCCACGACGGCAAGGGGAGGCTTTAGTACAGCCAACGCTCTAACCATCCGAGCTACGAGGCCCCACCGTCTGGAATCCACCAAATCTGACTGCCCAAGCACGATTTCCTGAGTACTCCACCTAGAACCCACCAGATGACTATCAGCCTCACATTTGGGTAGCTTGACCCAAGTGTGATTTACCTCACCTTGGTACAGCCAATGCTCTAGCCACCTGAACTACGAGGCCCCACCGAAGGACGTAAGTTTAATCCCACTTGGGTCAAGTTATCCAAATGTGAGTCTGGTAGTCACCTGGTGGATTCTAGTTGGATTATTTGGGAAATCGTGCTTGAGCACTCAGTTTACTGTATCAGATTTGGATGATTCCAGACGCTGCAGTAAATTGGGCGGGTAACTTGACCCAAATGTGATTAAACTCGCGTCGTCCGGTAGGTCCTCGTAGCTCAGAGGGTTAGAGCGTTGGCTGTACTAAAGCCTTCTTCTTACTGCGTGGGTTCGAATTCCACCGAGGCGCCGAGTTTTTCACAGTTGGGTCAAAGTGGATTATTTGAAATCTGCCAAAATACCTCTGAAAAAAATATCCTTGTCAATTAGCGTGATTTTCGCACCTAAATTCGAGAATGACAGAGGTGCATGTCCTAGAACAGATGCAATTACAATAAATTTATTATACACCGTGGTTTGGAAGGTTGCCAAGTGGCGGGATAACTCGGACGTCGCAGCCAACCCTATCTGTGTGTTTGCGGGTTGAGTGTCCGACTGGTGGACTGGGAGTCAGGCTGCAATGGTTCCTTCTTTATGTGACCTCCATGGCACTCCAAGTCCATGGGACCCATGGCGGGTGTGGCAGCACACCTGGGTACGGGTTTACGCCGTGCCAGTCACCTGTGCCCTCTCCCACCTTTGGTCCTCTTGACACAGAGTCCAAGGTGGGAGGGGTTCGGTCGATGGTGGCCAGGTTTGACATCACTTTAAACTAATTCACGCGCCTGCCCCGTCCCTTCACCAACCCTACTGTGGAGTACAGGGTGGACATTGTTGAAACCGACGGTCGAAATGTCACAGGGATAAGTGTGACTACCTCATTAGGAATGAAATTTAGTACTTAAAGTCAAAATGCCTGTGTTTCGACACACTCGATAGTGGCTGTATTGTGAAGCTTCTATATTTGTATAACGAGCGGAGAGTTTTCCTCCTCTGAATACTGAACAGCATGTTTCCATGCCTCTCGATGGCTCTGCGGTTCACCTTCTGGTGGCTGATATCCTGGGATCGCGTTTTATTTCGTCAGTAACGGGAGAAAGTAAGTAAAACTAAAAAGTACAAATAACTGCCCTTCCCAGACGTTGACAGAGGACCTTAGTGTTGAGGGAAGTATAAGTTCAAAACTTTCTTGATTACTCCTTTGCGAGAGCGAGCGTACAACGGGCTTACAACTGGTGGCAGACATCTCGACCTTAGACGTCCTCAAAGGTTGTAAATAAAACTCAACTTTTGTTCATCTCAGAAAGTGCAAACAATCTTTGGGCTGCCTAGAGGCCACTTTCCGTCAACAGTACTGTTAAAGTAGACTCGGAAGTAACTTTTTTAGAAAAGATTATTTCGTAAGGGAATATCTGATTGACTCTAATTTCGTTAAGGGGACCATTAATTTTACAGAAATTTTTATCCGTAAACATTTGCCCAATTCAGCACACATATAGTAGGGAGATTTAAACAAGTTTGATCGCTTTTAAGAGCCATCTACTTATCAGCTACAAGGTGAGGTCGGTGTTGTTATATTCGTTATAGTCTTTTGAGGAAATTAGACTGAGTAATTTTACTAGATTAATTAGACTCTTTAAATGTCACCGTTAAAAGTCAACAGTGAGGTAAATCAGGATCAATTTTTAGGATTAAGGTTCGGGCTAGTGTTAACGGCAAAGTTAATGTTTAGGGCAGGGTTAGGGTCAAGCCTAGGGCAGCAGTTTAGTTTTACATTAAGGCTATTGTTGGGGGTTAAGACAGGGGAATATTTGCACTTTCAAGAATTATGAGGACTTCCACTTTTATTACTTGAACGGGGCGTCCCCATTTCCATGTCCTGGTTAAACGTTTACATAAATCGGTCCCACCGGGTATTATTTTTGACTTTTGCGGACAAATTTCCTGGAAGAGATAGGCTCACCCACCTGGCCTAATAGGATACGACGGAGAATACGACCAGTTGGGAGGATGTCTGTTCTCATCATAGGCAAATGCTTATGTGGCATATAAGGAATGCTAACAAAGGACAAAAAGACTGGTGTCCAGTTCCGATTCGTTCGCTGACATCTGCTAACTACATCTCAGTCTGAGAACGAGGCGACCAGACGTTTGAACCCAGGTGCAGCAGGTCACCGAGCATTCGGATCAAACGCCTAAACGAATGAGTCATGGTTTCATATCCTACTGACTGTGGGCAAAACTTTTTTAATCACCTGGAAGTGACGTTTCGTTGACTTGGTCACTTAGACAAACGTGTTCATTCCGTTTTCGCTTGGATTTCCAATCCGAAACCTGCGCAGACTGTTATATAACGTCAAATAATTACATCCAGTATGTATTGAAACGTTAACTAGAAGTCTGGAATACTACCTCTGTTGGAAAGGGTTAGTTGTCATCCAACACAAACCCAGCATAATTCAGTCAAGCCAAGACCCCAGTTTATGAATACTTTTCCCTCCGGTTACCCGGAAACTTTGAAAGCGCTAAAAGTATTGCATAAATAGAATGATTGCTTCCATTTATTTCGGACGCCGTCTCGGAGTTGGGCATCTTTTTCGAAAAGCATGTATAAAAGTGCCCATTCTTCCTTTTTGTGGCAAACTACTTCATCTTTCAACTTATATTCGGAAAAAGGAGTGACTTCAAATATTATTAATGTTTTTGGATTCTCGAACAATTCTGAATCCTATGTGTCGTCGCACCTACGCTTAGGGTTTCCTAATAGCAAGTTTCTATTTAGGGAAAAACAGAAGTTTCTCAATGCTACTAAGAAGAGTTTTGTGCTCGTAAAACTTTGTCATGGATAAGAAGCCTGTTGCACATTTCATTGATAGTGCAAACGTACATATGAGATGCTATTTGAATCGGAAATTGACGGTCTCAAAAATCTCACAATTATAAAAATATTTTGAAGTTCAAAGGATATCTTTCTTTGGGTGGAAAATTTGGTGAATAAGTAGTTCGCTGCAAAATGAATGCAAAAAACTGCATGTAAGCTTCCCGCGAAATATGTTTAAATTTATTAAGACATCTAAAATCCGCAGACATCATTTAGCTGGCGTACTTTAGGCAGGCGGTAGAAAAAAAGTGCATTTAAAAACCAACACACTAGTGTGACTGCAATACCATTGATAACCAATATTATAGTGATTCTTTCTGGCCGAAATAATCATTCAGCATTCGAACTAATGCCTCTGGAGACACGTCACATGCTGTATGCTAAAAGATTAAAAAAAGATGAGGGAGACGAAAAATGTCAACACAGAAAATAGGTGGTTATTGATAGACAATTCAAACGAAGCTGGCCAGATCAGAGTGGCAAGAGTTTTGTTGCCTGGCGTTTCGGACTCTCAATCGAAGCCAGCATCCGCTACGACAACTAATAATGGCAGCGGACGCGCAATACATGTGGCATATATATGTATATGTTCATGCATAAATATGGAGACAGCACAGATACTGGTTGTATAGGCTACTGACTGCCTGTTGGCTGTTCGGGAATATTACGGGCTTATTCCGGAGTGGCTGATAAACTTCGGTTCAAATATTCATACAAAAATTCAGTCTGAGCCTATGAGTCTCAAATAGACTGATTTACTCCAAGTTAGCGATTAATTTCTGAGGAAATTAAAAAGCCGCAATATCTATATATGTATATCCCGTATATCATCTCCAAAAGAAGACGAAGAATAAAAAGGGACGATTGCATGAACCACACTGTATTGGTGCTGAAGTTTCGGAAACTTCCTCGTTCCCATCATCAGAGTGTTGAGCTGTTTGTTCTACAACATACCGTGCCAGAATTACAATGCGAGGTTTGCAGGTTAAACGGGGAAACGCCTCTGCACAAGACTGCATGGGCACCAGCTGGCAGTCAACCGTGAGGATAGACTGTGACTGTTATATGGCCACATGCAACAGGAGAAACACAGTTTCGCCTTTGGGGAAGCAAGCGTCCACGGTCGACCCCATGACAAGATGGCCAGTCTGTGCTCGAAAATTGGTCCTCAGTCGGCACAATCAACAGGGCTATTGACCTTCATCCGGCCTACCAGGCGCTACTTACAATGCTCCAGTCCGCCCAGACGGGGCCGACAGCACTGGCGAGCAAGTCGCGGCTCCCCCAGCAGTTGTCACCTTCACAGCAGGGGGAAAGGGCCAGCCGGGGGTCACACGACCAACGCGAGACATCGACCCATCGGCGCGCCAAAACAGCCGAGCGTGATTAGCACATGCAACGGCAGCTGATCAGCCCATCCGGTTATGAGGGGAGGGCCAACGGGCACACAGACCTTGCAGTGACTACGACAGTCGGGCAGGCGGCAGCGGTCACAGGAGCGCGCCAGCGGTCGCACACGGAGAGACCATACCCAATACCCAGCCAGAAGGCAGGTCAGAGTTCGTGCGTCAGGAACGCCTACAACACGAGACAGGCGGCAAGACAAAACAAATCCGAGCCAGCAGGAACAGACACCCCACCACTCTGGTGATGGAAAGGAGGAAGTTTCCGAAACGTCAGCATCAATACAGTGTGGTCCATGCAGTCACCCTTTTTCTTCTTCGTCTTTTTAATGGATGATGAACGGATAATTTATCTGGACATTGAATCCTCACTCATGTTGACATGCATATATATAATGGTAGAGAGCGCTCACCGATCGTTCTTACGGAACTCACTCGTTCCGTTGTGCCTTACAGCCTCTCTCTCTCTCTCTCTCGAGCCCAACCAGCAGCCGCACGGCGGCGCATGATATATAGGCAGAATGCTATTGCCGACAAAGACAAGGGAGACTGGAATGGCCATTTCTGGCCTATTAGCCGTCGTCAGCCAACCATACCCAAGCCCGAAGTGTGGAACACCCGAGCCTCGAACTCGCGACCTGTTGGTTTTTAGGAGTCCACGCCTCTACCCACCGGGCCACTAGCCCGTCGCCCTGTCGGTTTTCGATCGGGAATATACAATGGTAGGGGGCGCTCACCGATCGTTCATACGGAACTCACACGTTCCGTTGTGCCTTAAGGGCAACGGGCTCGTGGCCCGGTGGGTAGAGGCGTGGACTTCTAACCCAACAGGTCGCGAGTTCGAGGCTCGGGTGTTCCACACTTCGGGCTTGTGTATGGCTGGCTGACGACGGCTAATAAGCCAGAAATGGCCATTCCAGTCTCCCTTGTCTTTGTCGGTAATAGCATTCTGCCTACATATATATATATGTGTGTGTGTGCGTATTGAAGAAGATGGTAGGTGAGCTCTGGGGATGAGGATTTATTCATCTGACTTTCCAAAGTCATACTCGAGCGCTTTTTCGCCTATATCAATACATATATATGCACACTGCCTATATCACGCGCCGCTCTGCGACTGCTAGCGGGGCTCTAGAGAGAGTTCCAAGGCACAATGGGACGAATTCCGTAGCGCGATTGGTAAGCGTCCTTATACCATTGTATATATCCTCTCGCAACCGATAGGACAACGAGCCCGTGGCTTAGTGGTTAGAGGCGTTGGACTTTAAACCAACAGGTGGCGGAATCAAGCCCCGCGTGTCCCACACTTCGGAATTGGGTGTGACCGGCTGAGGACGGCCAGTAAGGCGAAAATGGTCATTCCAGTCTCCTTTGTCTTTTTCAATAATGCCATTCAACCTGTATGTATAAATAGCCGGTCGGCGAGTACCCTCTACCATTATATATAAGGTACAATCACATGCCTATCAAAATTAGCAGCTCTCGCTTTCGCCGCCGGAATCTCCATTTCTGTCTCACCTGTCGCTATCAACTGGTCATTGCCAAATGCCAGCACAGGAGTGGCCTGTGATTTAAATCCGGGTCAAAGGCGGGAACATTTTACTAAAATGATCTATGGCGGACTGAACCCAAAAAACGAATATTTGATCGTTTCAACTTGGCAATTAAGGAAAAAACGACATCCCAACTTCCATTGTCCTCCTCAACAGCACTTGCCTCTCTGTACTCTGAAGTTGCAGGGCGAAATTAGTTGGGCGCTTCTCTTTCTACACGTCCTGAGCATGGTATCATTCCAAATTCATTGCTCTATCGGTGGAGGACCGTTTGTCCTCGTCATGTTCCGTTTTGCATAGGTAAAATAACGTTTGCGAGATTCTGAGGACAGTATTGTGCTAGCAAAGAAGTGGGTGAGTATCATCGAAGTTCCCTCTCTATTAACTTGCATTTTAGTTTCATTGCGCCTGTAGCGGCTTCAGAAAGAAAGTACTGCAAAAGGTATAAATCGCAAAACCTCTCCACTGCTTTCTAATGGGGTTGGAGTGAAACCTTCGCAGCACTTCACACGGTAACTAGGGTAACGTATAAACAATTAATTATCACTTTGCGACCCCAGCGCGGTTCACTTCCGCGAGACCATGGTAACGGACTTAAGTCTGATGCACGCATTAGCACATATGTACGAGAACCCCGGGAGGTTGAATGGACTTGCTTTTGCAGGCCCACATGTAGGACGAATATTGAATTCTGATGGACTGAAGGCTTATAACGGAAATTCGAGGAAGTGCCTGTACGTGGTACGTCAAAGTTACTTGCAACGGACAATCAGCGAGCAATAGCTCATTCACAAATTCGGTTTTATTTATGCTGCCATCAGTGAACTTTTAATATTTTCAGGCGATCCTGTAAATTACAGAACAATATAATATCTCTGAAGACGTGTCCTCAGGAAGGTAAGGGCAATATGAACACTTACCTGCCAGGATCACCTACAGTACCGTGTTCTCGATGGCGACACCGTTAGCGATGGTGGTGGTGGTGGTGGTGGTGGTGGTGGTGGTGGTGGTGGTGGTGGTGGTGGTGGTGGTGGTGGTGGAGGCGGCGGCGGCGGCGGCGGCGTCAGTATCAACAGAGTAGGCTAACATGTCTACTCGTTTAACTTGATGTTTCCTATTCTAAAAATGCTGAAAATATTCAGATGTGTGGCATGCAAATATTGACAAGTACAAAGAACGATTTGAAACGCATATGCTGCTAAGCCACGTTGTGACGACTGGCGGTCAATCCCGGTCGCGTTCCTTCATATAATTTTATGACAAGGCAGCCGAATGGCTTAAACGAGAGATGGAACAAATGAATAGGTTCAGCTATTCAATCACACTACCCCGTCGATTTTCTTTAGACTTGAGAACCTGAAACTCGGAACAAAGACTGGGTCTTTTATTTTGAACCAATTGTCGAATACTCGGCAACCTGGTGGGATTCGAACTCTCCACAGCAAGTGGAAGGTTTCAGTACAGTCAACGCTTTAGTTATTTGAGGTACGAGGCCCCACCAGGAGTCGCGAATTTAATTACGTTTAAGTCAAGTTACCCATCCAGCCTACTGCAACTTATAGAACCTACCAAATCCGATACAGCGAACTGATTGCCCAAGCGATCCATCTAGAATCCACCAAGATGACTACCCGGCCTGCGTAATTAATACGTGCTTCTGGTCACTTTACTTTGACCCAACTGTGAAAAACTCGGCGACCTCGGTGAGATTCGAACCCACGGCACCTTCTTATTACGTTAGCCTGGTAGTCATCTAATGGATTCTAGGTTGATAACTGGTGAAATTCTGCTTTCAAATCGCGTTTGCGAACGGATTTTCCGCTCGATACAAACTGGGCTGCCTT